AGAAACAACCCAAAAAGGCCAAAAGAAAGAAAAAGAAAAGAAGGTTCATCAACAATTACTCATTTATCAACAGAGATTGCAAAAAATAAAACTTGTTCACTATTTTTTCTAAGCAAATCAGTTGAAAATAAAATATCAGAAGCAAGATTGGTCTCTAGGCATTTCAATTATCATCACATCTTATACTTCGGATTCAAGCATGGTATAAACAGTAACTGAGAACAAAAATAAAATTTTTATTGATACTTAACTGATGAGATATTCCTAGCATACATTAAACCTAACTATTTTGATACACCAATAGACTTGAAAATCAAATATGAAAAGCAAAACCGAAACAATACATGGGAATTTCAACATAGAAACGTACCTCTTAATTAACAGAACTAAAAACAACTACCAAACAGCTCTTTCTAAAGCAGCAGAACACCACCTACAAAACATCAAAAGCAAACATTAAAGGTTCTTGTCCTCTAGTATGAGTTGAAATTAAAATCCCACAAATACACATTTAAAAGTGTGCAATAAACTATGTTAAAGGTTGGAGAAAGAGAATCAAATCCACTTCTACATTTAATTTTTAATTTTTCAATCTATACTCTATACACACAGAACTTAATAATTAGAAATTAGAGTACAGAATCAGAAGTTGGTGCTGCCCATGGGTCCAGCTGTACTCTTTTGGGTTAGCGGGTTAGAGAGAGAGAAAAGACTGTAAATAAGTCTTTTACACAGAGAGAGAGAGAGAGAGAGAGAGAGAGAGAGAGTAGATGTACCCTTAGGTTTTGTTGATCAACCTCATGTATTAAAATTCAATTCCTTGCTTGGAGAACAAAAGTTTTAAATTTAAAATAAAATATGACAAAAAGACTCCAAACAATCCAAATCTAAAGTAAAATCATCAACCAGTTCAATCAAAGGCTGAGATAGCTAGAATACCTCAGTTGCAATGAATCAAAACGGAAAACATAGAAAATAAACTCTGCAAGCAACAAAATCCCAGAATGCCCTTTTGAATTTGGATTTCTGGACAGAGAGAGAGAGAGAGAGAGAGAGAGAGTGGGAAAACAGCAAGATAAAACAAACCATACACTTTTCCGCTTCTCTCCTTTTAAGTTTTTTCTCTTTTCTCTCCTTTTAAGACTCAAATTGAACTGTGTTGCTTTATCTGTTTTTGCTGCATCAGAGATTCTCTCCACCCCTTTCAAGTCAAAGTGAGAGAATAAATTTTTTATTTTTTTATTTTTAAAGTTGGTATGAAATGAGAGATGGAAGGAAAGGAGGAACTACAACTCATGGCATATATTCCGCCAACATAACCCCACTTATGTTTCCAGATATGGAGTGAGAACACAGGATAGGCCAACTACTCCAAACGCCACAAATTTGATCAAAGCTTTTAAGGCTCCTAACCAACATTTATGTTGCCTTCTTTTCTCTCTCATCCACAATACAAAAATGGGTCTGCTGCAGAATATGCAAAATCAGAATATGAATTTGGTTTTGTCCACTGATGCAAAGCCCGGGCTAAAATGGACTGCAGAACTTCATCAAAGATTTGTTGAAGCAGTCAATCAGCTTGGTGGGGCAGACAGTTGAGTATATAAGCTTGATTGATATTCTTCTTCAAATCCCTTTTTAGTTTCTTTCTATTTCTATACAAAGTTCTAATGTCTTTGTTTCACATATGGGCAGAGGTCACACTAAAGAGTTTGATGAGGGTGACGGGAATTCATGTACTCACTCTGTACCACCTAAAGAGCCACTTACAGGCATTTTTCTCCCTTTTCTTGGTTAATCACATCCAGTCTTTTTTCAGACTATTATGGAAAAGCATAACTGTAAAACTGTTTTGTTTTCTTGTGCAGAAATACAGGCTAGGGAAAAGCCACCAGTCAGAAAACTGCACTGACATTAAGAAAGAAGGTGACTCCAATGCTTCATTAGATTATAAAAACTATAAAGGATCATCATCTTTACTCTTTTTTCTTCTTCTTAATCTTCTTGAAATCTTAATATTTGAAATGTTTCTCTGATAATGTCCTACACTAAATGCAGTCTTAAATTATGTCTTACATGCCGTTCATAGTTATACAGAATATCTTTATCTTGGTTCATCAAATCTATCTCTCCCCCAAATTTGTCTAATTTATCTCTCTACTGGGGGCAATTCTTTTGAGCATAAATCGAACACAACCCAAAACAATTATAAAAAAGAAAAAGAAAAACAATCACTATATCAATCAACAAAAACGATTAAAAAGGAAGATCAAAAGAGAAACCAAATAATAAATATAACCAACAATTGAAATATTCATTTTAATCTTCTTCTTTTTTTTTTCAAAACCTGCCTAAGCAACCAACAATTGAAATATTCATCAATTTTAATCTTTTTTTTTAAAAAAAAAAACCCTGCCTAAGCAATCAAAAGTCACCTTAAACAATCAAAATCACAAAAGAACTATATTTTCGAGGATATGGATCTTACCTGAAATGTTTTGTTGAGGTTGCAAAATCACCTTTTTCCTCATACTCAAACCCTTCAACAACCAAAAAACAATGAAAGGAAATTTTCATTGTAATCATAAGCACATGTATGAAAGAACAAAGGTACCAAATTTTCAATCCAACATAATTATAGAACAAAGACACAAACTTTTTCCTTTATGTCCTTGAGTTTCCACAGAAACCCAAGTGATTTCAATAAAAAGTACCTCCACCAACTGAGCCGCACCATATGGGGATGTCTTTGGGACCCCAAACGACGCCGTCGCAGATGGGTTCTTCACGGCCACACCCATAGCCACCAATTGAGGCCCCAACACAGCTGAAACTGACATCTTCGGTTCTCACAGTAAGAAAAAGACGATGGAATTGGGTTTTCTGAGCGAACGAAACGTTCGCAGCTGATGAGACAACGGAAGAGAGAAGAGACAGAGAGAGAGAGGGGGCTGCGATGAAGGGAAGAGGTTCGAAGAAAAGAGAACAGGGCTGGAGGGCATAACGGCCAATTCACTGTTCAAAAGTCAGCTCAAGGAAGCAGACCATCTCTTAAGCGGGGGTAAAACAGCCATTTCACTATTGCTAAGCTACAGTCTAGGAACAGTGAATTCCTGTATTAAACCTAGCTATTTTGACTCACCAATAGACTTCAAAATCAAATATGAAATGCAAAACCGAAACAATACATGGGAATTTCAACATAGAAACACACCTCTTAATTAACAGAACAAAAAACAACCACCAAACAGCTCTATCTAAAGCAGCAGAACACCACCTACAAAACATCAAAAGCAAACATTAAAGGTTCTTGTCCTCTAGTATGAGTTGAAATTAAAATCCCACAAATACAAATTTAAAAGTGTGCATTAAACTATGTTAAAGGTTGGAGAAAGAGAATCAAATCCACTTCTACATTTAATTTTTAATTTTTCAATCTATACTCCATACACACAGAACTTAATAATTAGAAATTAGAGTACAGAATCAGAAGTTGGTGCTGCCCATGGGTCCAGCTGTACTCTTTTGGGTTAGAGAGAGAGAGAGAAAAGACTGTAAATAAGTCTTTTACAGAGAG